AATAACCGAGCAACGTTTTTTTGAAACGAGAGCAGTTCTCGAATCCTGTTAAACAGGATTTGGTAAAGGTTTTTGTTTTTTTCTCCGCAAAACAAAGTTACAAACTTATACATTCACCCGGTTTATCAAGCACAAAGCTTACCATTTCCACTTTGTGGGTGTGAAGAAACTCCTGGTTATTTTCGAGAGGTGAAAGGTTTATTAGAAATTGAAAAATGGCTACGATTTAACAATTCAATCACCCGAGTCCCATCAGCCACAGATTGTGTGACCACTTGCGATGACAGAGAAGCTAACAAAGGATTGTTCAGCTAGGTATTGAAATACACCTTATAATATCAAGCTGATACCTGGATAAATTGAATGACATGAAAGACGCCATCACCAACCTAGAACGATCATCGCTCTTAGTAGTTAGGTTCAATTTTAGAAGGGTTCACTCATAACTCCGCACACAGTCAGGCTACAGTCAAAAAAAAACGTTTAAGCCTCCGTAATCTTACACACACACAACCAGTTTAGCATATGATTGGAGATGTGACACGACTTTCATTTAACGATCATAGACTACAGAGCCATAGTTACGATGGACAAGATAGTTGTGTGTACAGTGCGACTTTGGTTTAGACAACATTTACTGCTAACTGTGCGATGTAGACCGTAACCAGGGAAGCCCTATGAATGTCTGCTCATACTGGGGGCGACATGGTTCAGTGGTTAGAGCGCGAATATACTGAACGGAAGGTTCGAACCCGGCCTCCGTCTCTCGACTTCCCCTGTCCAGGCTTGGGCAACCTGGCAGTATTTCAGCCCTCGTGCTTCCTTTGGATAGCATGGTAGCCAGGCACCGAAAGGGTGTTACAGCTGAACGATAATCTTATTACATGCTCGTACGCACCTCAGAGGTAGGTGGAAATATAGCAAGATGAGGGAAATGTACCGCCTTTAAAAAGGGCTTCAATTCAACGAATTTCAAGAAGGCTTGTGACATTATTTTTAAAACCATAACTACTGACGTCAAATGTGACCGCATGATTCAGTAGTGAATCTCCGTAGAGGATATAATCAGTGTTTCATATCGTTTGAATCAATTAATTTTACTCCGTTTAGTAAGTTTTAACTGAGAACTATTAAATCGATGTATTTGGGGTACAAGTAGGGTAACAAATCACGTACCGGATACAAAAAATGACAGAAACCTGAAAGTGCCTTCGGATTTGTGTCTCTTGTTCGGCAGGCGTGCAAAGACTTGGGCGTTTGTGCAGTAGCTCATTGACGAAAGTTTTCCGCACCTACAGGTAACAGTGTTAGCGGACACGAGCGTTGAAAGTGCAAAAAATTAGTGGCTGTTCTCTTTTGACACCTCACCGTTTACATCCCTTCCCACAACGGGTCGCTTGTTGAGAGACAGACATTTAACATTTATGGTAGTATGAGGAGATTTGGCCTTTTTCGGTTGGTCCTTTAAGTGATGTCTGTCCATTCTAAAATCTGGAAAACACTGTAAAGTTATTTCATTCGTCTTGAGACTCATCAGTGCTGCACATCCCATAAAACTCAATGAGATTCGAACACGTGACCTTCTGGCCAGCGGTTTAACGCTTAACCATTTACCAAAAAGGGAGGCTATAAGCAGTATCACTAATTCACACTTAGGATATAGCAGCGCCATTCACCCTTCAGCCACGTACCAATCGACAGTTTGGTTCAGACAGAAAAACGCTCGTAGTCGGAAGTCCGTTCTGGCCGGTGGCAAGTTTATTACCAGATACACAGCACCACTCAGCGCAAAGCGACTGACACACTGCTAAGCCCAGCTTCACAAAGACATACTGTCTATGTCACCTTGATTACTGATGTAAAGTTTGCAATGAAACTGCCAAACTTAACGAACGAAAGGGCGACTTTCGTTTCACCAGTTTTTCTGCAATCTTGGAGATGCAGGCCAAGGTTGCTGAGATCGAACACATGTTTACCGACTTGTTCTTCCCTGATTTGATGTTGTGGACCACAGTCTCCTCAGTGCATTCTTATTACCGTGAACCCCGGTCTGGATAGCCGATTGATAACCTAGTGCACTTGGCCAAACCAGAAAAAGTCAGTGAACGTGCGAACCGACTGATTTATTTATCACTGTCATGTACAAGCGGTCAAAAACTGAAACTAAGAATACAACTCATCTGTCAAGGATGAGTGAAGAACAACCAATGGAATCTGTCTCAACAAAAAACGGTTATTCCATTCGCAGTTATGTAGTCCTGTTACGTTCACAGCTAGTTCTCCTAATATAATACCTCGTTTAAAACGTGGACACAATTTGTATCGTTTCTTCACAAGTTTCAAACTGTCCGAAGCTGAATGTCAATTGGTGTTAATGTGCTATCTGCGATATGACGAAAGATATAGTCCGTCCACATGGTTAATATGACATTAATGGCTGCGCCAGCAAAATACCATTGACGTTAAAGTGCCCTAAATTCCGAATAGAACAACAATGAACCCACACTTCAAGATACACCCGATGACTTGCGGCGAGGCACACAAGAAAGCTGACCACTATTTCGTATGGTACATTCGTTTGCTAAACTCAGTGTTCGGTACCAGAAATGATTACAGGGGGTGACTGATGCAGCTCATATTGACCCACAAATGTTCTGGTTCATCAAAGCTAAACAGAACTCAGCTTCCTCGCCAAGTGGCTTTCCCGCGTCTTGCTTTCCGAAGAAAAGTGGTTCTGATTGTCCTTCTAAGAGGGAAGGTTGCTATTTAGGCATGAAAACTTGGACTATTCCGCAAAAATAACACCACGGCTGTTTGTTGGTAGACGTCTTACCGAAAGAGGTGTACAGAGGTGCACACATAAACATACGCAGCAGGCCATGTTTTAGCGCGAGTTTCATTAGCGTGGATATCACTTACAGTGGATGGGAGTTGCCAATGCCAAGGCCAAAACTATTGGCCAAATACCACAAACGATTCTCAAATTAACTGCACTCCAATATTATCCACATCGACTAGTCCACGGAAGTTTACATCCACTCAGCACATGGCAAAAGAATTGGCGAAAAAAAGTGGACGCCGGTGATTGACCTATTCTTGTTAATTTCAAAGGACGGTTTTTGTTCCCCTCCGGATCTTTTTTCTCCATATTAATGTGAAGCCCTAGGGATAAACACACACTGGTCCCGAATGTATGCGTTCGCTGGCGAAAAGGGTATTCGGAATTTACCGATTGCGGCTCATGAACGATTCTCAAAAGTACTCCGTACGTAGGTATATTACTTGTGCATTATGTCCAGACTACTTTGCTATGCTCGTTCCGCACGTGCAATCGCCTGCATGTGTCCACTTGCCGTTCAATCAACCAGCAATTCAGGAGCCTTGATTAATCAAAAACAGTCACCTGACTATTTCACTGAGTTGAGTGTGACATTACACCATCGATCCGCTGAATAACGTCTGAACGGAGAGCCACCAAGCACCATGATTAAAAAATCTTACAACACGACCATTTTCAGATTGGCGGCATGAAAATTACAAACTTATTCTCATCCCTGGAAGTCAGGATTAAGTCCCAAAGGCCCAGATTACATTTGGCGATATGTAAGGGGAGTGATCACCTTAATTCTCATGGAAGTAAAAAAAAGATGAACAGGATCTTGACAAACAGGCGCATTTGCAAATCGATTGCGTTTTTCCGGGAGACTCAAATGAATCTCTCGTTCATCATACTCTTCACCTGAATGTATCACACACAGGGCGCCTCATATATCAGTTAGATATTCGAGATTCAATTGCGTCTCTCATGAAAGCCAAATCGATTTGCAAATGAGGGCATTTGCCGAGATTAGTCCCATTTGGGTTCAAGTAGAACATAAGCTTGACGGAAACTCGGGGACTGCCTCTATTTATTGAGCCCAAATTAAGATGAAATCGGTCGCGGGCTGTCGGATTTTTCAGTAAAATTGTGGGTAGTTTCCTTTGTGAATAGGCAGGGCCTACTGCAAGGGATAAGATGCTTTTCATCGGAGATTCTATACTGTGAGTAAAGCCAATCTGTGCTGAAATGCCTAAAAGTACCACACAACTGGTTCATTTCCCTTGGAAATCATCTGTACAGCACATCCGACGAAAATGTAGAAAGTTTCGAACCCGAGACTCCCCGCCCGATAGTTTGAACACTTAGCCGTTTGGCCACGAGCAGGATAGAGTGCCGTTCAGTTCAGTCGCGTGATTCACATAATGTATTTACTCGCAGTGACCGGCTCCTCGCGCGACAAATGCTCAAACGAAAGTTTCAGTCATGTCAATTTGTTCTCTCACTGAGCTGCTTACAGGTTACTATTATTATTTTCAACGGAGATGTCGTCCTGTAACGACTAAGCGTCTAAACCACTGGCCAGAGGGGCCCTTTTAGAATTTCTTTGGAGTTTACACTTTAGTGAGGATTCCAAGATTGGATGATAAAGCCGTACAGTTCTTGTTGGCCTTTCAGTTTAGATTGGCCTCACTTACTGGGAAAAATCTCCACTGGAAACTTACCAAGTATTCCTATACTACCAGTGACATAATGATCTGCCTGACTTGACAGCCAAGGGCTACTAGTGGAACTGGTACCGTTATAGGTTGTGGTGAATCTCGCATAGAACGCCTGAAGTTAGGCGCTCTTGACATGTTAATGCCTAGGTAGGAGAGTGGAATAGGCGTACATTTTGGAAGGTATTATAGGTTCTACAAAAGTTAGTTGCATTCAACACGTCGTTTTCTGTCGAAGGACACTCAATATGAAAACCTTAGTGAATATACATTCATTTGCAAACTAATTTGGTTTTTCGAGAAACTCACATGGAACCCAGCTGAATCTCTCGGTTTTGATGTTTCCAGGCAACTGAATGTGCTGCCCCAGGCCGCCTCATGTTTCGGTCGCTGCGGTATTCGAGATATCGCGATACATACATAGAACATAAGGTTGACGAAAACTCGAGGACTGCGCCTACCTGATGGGCCCCAAGAAGGGCGAGACCGGTCGTGGACTGTCGAGGTGTTTTCAGCAACCTTATGAGTAGTACATTACAACAACATGACCACCTCATTTGTTTGGCAATTTTCACCCTATGGTTTGTCACCGTTTGGAGAATTTGGAAGCCTGGAATTTATCACGTAAAACTTGCTCGGCCTCCAACATAATTCACACACGGAGATTGACTTTAATTTTCCTAGATTTTCACTTAAATATATAAAAAAAGTGTATCAGTGTTACGAAAAAAACAGCGAAGCATGACTTGTCCGACTGATACGCATAACCAGTGCACCGAGTATATGTTTGTTCTATAGAATGGTCGGATAGTCTTGTCATCTGTATCCTCAAAGGCAAATGAGTCTGCTGGGATGTGACGCCGAGTCACAGCGCACATTTTTACGAATTCTGTCACACGTTACCATAGATAAAGTAGCTCAGGAAGCAAACCACTAATTCTAAATTGACTGCCTCAAGATCCATTGAACCGTTCGAATAAAACCAGCAAGGAATGCGGCTGGACTACATGCCTATGACTGGTTGACCGCTATTTGATGGTTTTTTAGCCTGCTCATCTTGCTATCCAACTGGTTCACTGGAACGTTTAGCTGGAGTACAACAAATCAAGTACAACCCACATGACCTGCGGATTCAGTGAAGCCGCAATGTACGCGATAGATTTCATCTCAGTTTAGTTCTTGCGCACCTTGTCATATCGACCATTAGGCGATAAAGTCATACTCAGAACATTTTCATTCACGTACTGAAATATTCTTGGAAGAAGGTCGGTGTTCGCGAGTTTGTGCGTGTGACAAATTTGTCTGTGTCAAATAAATGACTTGCACGTCAAGGTTGTCTACTTCGTTTGCTCCGCAGAGCGTCATTCGCAAGGCAGTTCGTGGTGCCTGTCATCGGCTCCACTCATTGTTCTCTGAATGTATACATTCACAGGCCTATTGTAAGATAAACTGTCCAAAAATTAGTAGAGTTAAGCTAGTGAATCCTATCATGGTCTTTTAAATGCCTCTGCATCTTCAGCAAACAAATGGGGCTCAGTAAACTGTTCGACAATATACGATTAAACATGAAATTTAATCTTACGGTCAAATATGATTCCTGCTTCATAGAATTTCATTATCTTACGGCAGATCTACCCAATTTTCCGAAATGCAAGTAGTCTGTTGTCCTGGGTACCAAAACGGTGCGTTCACTCGGTTATACAATATTTACACAAGCGCTCTCACTAGCCTTGTCAGTATTGTTCAAATGTGATTACGCAGGGTCAAAAACCCGCCTACCTAAATATCGCAGGTTTTGGGTGTGTCGGGAATTGCCTAATTCACACTTTGTCAGTCCTATCCTGTATACAATCTTTTCTACTTTTTTCCTGAAAGCAGTGTAACGGTGATACTACTGATGGGGAGGCGTGCGAGCAGTATGTTTTTCTTCTTGTGAGTTCGCCTTGCGTCTCTTGAAAACAGAGACCTGTTGCAGAATTTGTGGAGTCGCTTTGTAGCATTTGATTGGATTTGAGCAATGAATGATTGGAGTCAATGAATATTCAGGAAAGTTAAAGAAGACGAGTTCAGGAGAAGATGGGTGTCCAGTTTTTGTAAATAAGGTGCAAATGAGAGTTTTGCTTCCCTGACCAATAGTGTGTAACTGGTCAGTTGGGATTTTCTAATAAATAACTCTGTAGCGAATTGTTTTCTCCTTTCAGTGGTAGTCATAGTGAGGCACCGATTTGTTATGGCCATCTACGGAATAGGATTCGCCAAGGTCATATCGCGAAATTCCGCTCGGCTCAGCTGCTTAGCTGCCGTTAATTATGGAGTCATACTGAGAAGGCAAGGATTGTGACTGCAAAAAAGCGAGAAAGAACTGTTCAACCTTTCTACCCTTTCCTTTATTCTGCGGCATACTAATATTTCTAGTCTCTATCATGATTGCAACTAATCCGAATAGTTGCTTCCGTTCCATGTAAACGTACTAACCCCTTCACTTAACAAATCTTTGACTCCGCCAAACCTACTCTACCACTTACCGCTTGTTATCTCCGGTTCATCATAACTATCCTGAAAATCAACGGTTCCTCCCAAACAGCTTGCTATCCACTTCACTGTAAGTTTTCAGCTCATCACTACCATCCCTTTCTCATAATCTTTTAAGTCCATTTGACCGTAGCACTACCTTCATTACAATGGTTTACCAGTCTGGGACAACTTAGCAAATTTTGGCTCAAAAGTCTTTTCAAAGTTGTACAATCCTCGGAGCCGCACTGCCTTGGAGAATTTAGATTTGAGGGGGTGGAGATGAGTAATTTCTGTGCGCAGCGAAATTTGACACAAAATGGTGCAGGAAACGAAGTGTCGGAGAGTGTATGCACTACGAGTAAAATTTCGCAGCACTAGGATAGAGCGTGCAACAGAATGCATGACAAAATGCATGGTCAATGGCATCCGCGGTTTTCTGTACGCAGTGGGCAAAAGTTGCGCCGGATTGCCATTGAAAAGGAACTGCACGCAGGAATAAAACGAATAACAAATATGAATACTTTCAGAATATTTGCTGGCTTTGTAATCGTGATTCTCGAGCCTGACGGTTTTGCTTTTTTGTATTCTATGAAACGGTCGATTTGTCAGTAATTTCCGCGCAGTTCACCAAGTTATCTGGCACAATGGTGGATCAAACGGTACCCAAAATTGTTTACCAGGACTTTATATCGGGTTGAGGGAGACCGAGGCGCTAATTGCAAGCTTGATCAGGGGAGTGTGGTTTTGAGGAATTCAGAGTTTTTCAGATCAAGCTTTCGTAGATGTCCGCGTATAAAAAACCATAATAAGTTATAAAATTCACAGTACTTTCCATGCCTGCAGACAAGTCCTCAAGTGCTTGCTACAGAAGGGGAAAAGGACTCTTGTCTTGTGGCACGTTGGAGTGGTCGCTGTGGGTGAACCTTTACATTTTCTACAACCACAGCCACATTACAGCATTGTGTAGTAAGTAGTCTTTGAAACATACAAAATGTATCTGAGGAATTTACAGCGGTCTATCGGGTAGCAGGATCCACACGACCATGTGTTGCATGAAGCGTATGAAATACCGACGTTCAATAGTTTAGCTCACGCATATCAGTTCATTTAAGTTTTATCAACAATAGGCAGTTATTCAGCACCTTTTCTCTTGATGTATCGTTCCACAGTAGTCCGGTCTTCTAAGTGGATTGTGTGTCGTCAGTTTACTAAAGCCCTGAACGTTTTATGGAGACAAAATGAACACACCTAGTATACATCTGGCACACACAATGCAATGCGGCGTTCGCACGCACGACGCTATTAGGCACTGTTCTATCAGGTTTTGTCTGCAAACATCATATGACATTTTCGTACCGCACGAAGAGATTATGAACCCGACATTTTGAAACGATAACAAGTTATCTATTCAAACCAAAACTTCTCTCATTTATTGCTTATTAAGTCGGTGGATTTGTCATTAGGGCTCCCTCTTGCACGCGTTGTAATAACTCCCATGTGTTCTGTCAAGCATAGCGAGATTTACACAAATACTGTTCCGTCATCTCAAAACAGGCCGTTAGGTAAACGCTATTCATAGATTCTTTACTAATCACCGCCCGCAAGATGTCAATTTCTCCGGAAAACTCATTTCGTTAGGGGTTAACAAAATTAATTATGGCCTTAACCAAAACTCATTGCCAGTCGTCAAAAAGGGGTGAATTTTCAAATTTTTCATTTTGCATCTAGCTACCAACAATACAGTGAGCAACTAAAAATAACTGGAGAGTTTAAATTCATCTCATTGTGAACAGAGATGTGAACCCCAGTATGCAAATATATGACTTCGCTGCACGCCATGGTTATTGACCAAAAGCCGAAAATTTTTCGTTTAGATAGTATATCTTAAAATGGTAGTCTTGTGTTTTGGTCCCCGAGCTGAACAGTTGATCTGCAAATGTGTGGTCGTTCTTCGAGGAGATATTGCCATTTGCTAGTTTGTGATGGTGTCCGTCGCAGTCCCTTTGGATTCGACACTGCCATGTTTCCTCATGGTCCTTGTTTCAAATCTAGGGTTTTATAACGCGAAATGAAGAATAGTATCAGTGATTCACCGAAATGGTAATCTGGCCTCTAATTTATAAGTTCTCTCCCATCCCAGGAAGCAACTCCTGAAGAGGTTTGAAATGCGGAATTGAGGGTAAAATTAATACTAGTTTACAGTGATTTTCTTGTAAGATTCTTGAGCAGCTTGTTTAGATGTTGGATTGTTTCTTGAATGCGTTGCATTGTTACCCATACTTTACATTAATATACACCAAGTTGCATTTCTTCGTGTGCCCCGTTACAGATGGAGCACGAAACGGCGTAGTGAAAAATCCAAGTTTACATATTATGACGAAACCACACACATTAGTTTGGACCCAGATCATTGTCCTTCCCTGCAATTGAGGACTTGTTCTCTACGCTACACCATCAATTTGAAATAGGCATGCAATTCGCCGTATCACACAATCTGGTGGGTTGGACACCAAGGAGAATGATTAAATCGCCGTCATCTCAAAATGTCCCAGATCTGTTCTTACCTGAAAAGATGCTGCAATGAATAACATCTTTCTAGAAAAGGGCTAAATGTCCTGGTACCAGGTTGTTGGGTCACGAGACACATGATTTTAAGAACACAATGGCCTGCTTAATCAGATTGTGAGGTAATTTTCAGCTAGATGCCATTCTGCCAGGATGGACCATAGTAAATACTGATAGACTGGTTCAAAAAAAGTTTTTTTCAACCGACCGATATCACTGAGCCAGTGCAAACAGGTAGCCTTTGAGGGCAGAAATTACTGGAGGACCAGGCTTGACCTTGAAAGCCTGACCTTGAAAGCCTGACCTTGAAAGGCTTCGACAAACATCATGGACTATACATAGGGTTTACTGGCATTTCTGGTGAATGGTTGCTACAAGTTAAAACAACTGAGCTTGGCACACGGAGCACAGGCAATTGCGATCCCATGGAAGAAATTAGTAATGATGGGTTCATCTGCCTAATCAAACGGAAAATAAGTTATGAATTGTCAACGGTTATAAAATGGGAGTGACTGGTTCTTGAAAGTCAGCTCACTAGGCATCTTGTCCTGACTGAGTTTTCTCCGGACGCATTCACCTTGTGAGTCCTAATCAGAATGAAAAGTAGAATAGATAAGAAGATACCGGGAATACACATTGACAGGACTGATGTAGCCAGTGCTGAAGGCCATTTCTGTTGTCTGTTACCATTAGATTTGGCGGGCACACAACTACAATAGAGCTGTGTGAGTCATTGTTTTGTTTGTTCATGAACGTACGGTCGGAACATACACTGCAACTAGCATCCTATCGAAACATACAATAACTGTCCAAAGAATCCTAACATTATCTCCCAGGACCCAGAGCTCGATATCTGTGGGAGAATGGGGGAATAGGATGGCATAGGCAGTTGAACGTCGTGAAGTAACCATGTTCTTACTGATGAATACTTTCAAAATTCATTGATTCCATAATAAGTAGTCTCACTGTATAATATCTTCGTTTGGGGTTTATGAATGATTGGTCCTGATCCACTTCTATGTACAGTTTAATTCGTTCTGAGCTACAAGCTTTTCTCGGCTATCTGCTAGTATGTGAGTTATTTTTATGGAAGTGAAATGTGACTCACAGCATTGCCAGGGACTCGATGGTGAGCTTGCAGTCTGCAGGTCGTTTTTTGGAGTTTTACTTGAGATAAAACTCTGTACGACTGTTTTAGTTTAGTTTAAAATCAAGAACCCTGTGCACCTCAAGAATTTGCGGGGCTCGCGATCTTCTGCTGAGTTGCCGTGTTCTTTATCATTCGGCCAGGGATTCAGCTCAACAGTGCTACTGGCCCACAGTTAGCCAGGATGTGATGGCGTCGAACTCTCTTTCGGGGTTTACGAAGTTTCAGACTGGAGACTCAGCTCCACATTCCAAGTTAAATATCCAAGCTATTGATCACCTGGTGGTGGTGTGATGTTCAACTAATAAAAGGGAATCCGGGGTTCAAATAGCCTTGGAATTTCACGACAGTCACTATTCTGATGTTTACCGAGGTAGCTAAAAAGCTGTGAGCTGTCTTTCTGCTTCTCAGCGTTGGGTGACTTTACGCATAGATTGTAGAACTGACTGAAACTTCAAGGTCTTCTTGTCGCATACAACCAGTACTTCGTACCATAACTACAGAAAAGTGACCCACCACAAGCTATATGAATCTTCCAACTGAGATCCATTACCTTGGGGGGGGGGCAGTCATCTCTGGACTAAACGACACAAATCACTTGAGCGGGAGACAATGGTGCTCTAAACTGTTCTGGTTTGTGCTGTTTGCACTGTTAATCTTGTAAAGGCAATCCGAATGGTAAAAACTACGACTCCCAACCGAACGGTAATGAATGCTTACTGCTGACAATTTCCGCCATGAGCAAAATAGCTCTCACTTATATTTATGGTTTCCAGCATAGGTAAAATCTACTTGTAAGTACAATTTGATAGCGATCTTCAAATGACTGGCGGTTAATTGATTTCAGCAACATATTTACTTTTAATTTTAGTCATGTTTACTTAGGGTAGGCTAGTCTACTTGTCCTAAATACAGTTTTCCCGTAAAAAAAGCCACAGATCGTAACTAAACGAGATAAAACTGTTTTGGCAGCTCGATCTGTGGAGTGTGGGAGTCGAGATGGCTCAGTGGTTAGAGCGCGAATTTACTGACCGGAAGGTTGATGGTTCGAACCCGACCTCTGCATCTCTACTTCCCCGTATAGGCTTGAGCAACCTGGCAGCATCCCAGCCCGCGTGCCTCCTTCGTGTGGCATGACAGCTAGGCACCGAAAGGGTGTTACAGCTGAACGATCGTTATTAGTATTATCTGTGGAGTGTTTTTTGCAGACGAGGTTTACCTTGGGACAAAATTTGGCTGTGGGTCAGATAGATATAAACCATTGCTGCTCCGCGCTTATTGACCACTTATGACGTAGTATGCCAGCTAGTTCTGCCTCGAGCGTAAGCATTCCGGTGTCTGGGCTGGTTTACCTTAAGCCCAGAAAACGGAGAATCATCTTACTTTCTACACATTCTGCCGGTCGCTTGGACTCACACCACAACAGCTACGGACCGCAAGGAAGCTACCATAGTCTGCATGGTGAGCACAGACTTTCGCAAGTTCATTGTCCAATGTATTCTGCAGCCACAAATAAAGGAAGCAAAAGTCGGTGGGAGTGTCACTTTGTGCTACAAGTGGTATGCACAGGAGTCTTAAATTGACAGCTGGAAAAACGCCTCCTTACATATGAACTTACACAATGAACCCATGGTCAGATTGAGCACTGGTAAGAGCTTGTTTGCAATTAAAAATCGTCCAAAGTAATTTTCACAAATGTTTTTTTTTCGAGGAACAATGTCCAGGACACACCATTGTTAATTGACGTCTTGAAGTTCCTTTCACCACAACAGGTGGCTTTAATCATTCGCCTCCAAAGGTATGCCGCGAGGAGGCTATGCCACTTTACCACAGAAGATGCGGGCTATCACCGGAAGAATAAAAACAAGCACAAGCAATAGTGACATATTGAGGGTCTCTGAACACATGATTTTCTGTACACACTTGGGAAGTGATCTGTGTGGAAAGGTCACTCGACGTCAATCGGAGATGGGGTTTGCTACAGTGGACACATTGTTCTGATGGACATTCAAACCTAAACGGACAAGCACTTGGGACAGCGTAAACAGCAAAAGCGTACTGCGCGTGTCTTCCTCACTGTTTTACCGAAGTGTCCGATAGCACATCAGCGCACCTCAGATGTGGTTAACGAGTAAAAGACCCTTTAAAAGAGCCATTTAATAAGCATTTTTTTAAATTAGACCATTAAAGCCAGATTTGTTCTCTTCTGTGCAATGGCCAGTAAACAAGCAAAATTCTTTTCAAAAGCTGAGACCAACTGTAAAGTCACCATTACTTTATCCGGAATCATCATGGAACCAGGAGATTTGATCTGACTTAAGTTGCAACATATTCTGGGTATAGCATCACTTACCATTCAATGTGCAACTAAAATTCCAGTAAGTTACTAATGACGGATTGACTAGAAGAACAGTCGCTTGCTATACAGATAGCAGGGGCGAGATTGTCCAAGTGGTTAGAACGCGAATTTACTGACCTGAAGGTCCGTGGTTCGAACCCGACCTCTGCCATTCGAATTTGCCTGTCTAGGCTTGGGCAACCTGGCAGTATCCCAGCCCTCGTGCCTCTTTCGTGTGGCATGGCAGCTAGGCACGGAAAGGGTGCTACAGCTGAACGATTATTTTTTTATACAGATAGCTGCGGATCCTAGTCTCCCTCACGTTGTGTCTGATATGCATTGCTGGGGAAAACAGTCCTAAAATGATTATTGTGGCCTAGGCTTACTGGACTTACAAAAGGAATTTCAAAACTAAAACTTCGGATTCACACCCGTGTTGGAAAACAGACCTGTTTTCTTTCTGGATCCAAAGTAGCTCTTCTTTGAGGTGATCACTATTGGATATCTTCAGTCTGGTGAAATATATTTTCTCACTTGCGTCTCTCGACTGGTATTAAAAAGTAGAAGTGACTTACATGAGGATTTTCAAAACATTCACGAAACAAATCAACGTACTGAAGGTAAAGATTCTTCATTGAGCTATTGGTCTTTAGAATAAGGCATTACATGTTTGAACGAGGGTGTTTTTGTCTTCCAAGAGGTGCTACTCTTGATTCGAATCCCACGAGTTCGAGCGGTCTTAGTTACAACCGAGCTCTCTTGATGTGTGTATACTTTGGAAAGGAGCGCTCTCTATATGCGTATGAATGTATCAATAAATACGCCAACTGAATAATGAAATAGCAATGTTGTGGAATGTAGGTAGCTCGGGTGCGCTGTTTGGTTGTTGGCCTGTTCGCCAAGCTTGGCAGTTGGATTGCAAACATTTCATCACCAATCGAGGTGACACCGTCAGTGCAGGGTTGAGTGGGTGAATCCCTCCTACTCTGCCTGTGATTATATAGCTTCTAAACACTATCTGGTAGTTCTGAATAATGAATTCCAGAATGGCAGACTCCAAAACTTCAACTGATGCAATAGCCTTCTAGAAAGTTTGACGAACTGCGGTCCTCATGGAGTGTGGGGTTGTACAGCACGACACGCATCGATACTGCGAAACAGGCGGGAAGTTCAAAACAGTTACAACCTTTCTTGTAAAACTATGACTAGATGGACTCGCACAAAACACGCGGACGTGCGTGCATATCAGCCTACGAGTCACCAGTCTATCTGCACTGATCCGTTTGCTAAAAGCAAATAAATGCACTGATGTTAATTTCTTTCAGTTGGTGACTGACCGACATTATTCTGCGGGTGGGAATATCGCAAACCAAATGGTTACATATCATCCATTGTCACCTAAAAGGGTATGCCAAAAGGCATGATTGTTGTAACGGCAAAGTTTTATCGGATCGGTTCGCTGCCTGTTTACGGTTGATGTTTTAATTTACAAGCTAAACTTAAATTCCTCGGGGACGGTTGGGTAGATGTTCACGTTACCTTAGTTGTCGACTGGCGCACGCTGTACTGGAACGATACTGGCATTTGTCATTCTACATTTTGAAGAAATCAGTATCACTGGAGTAGCCTATGTTTCTTTTATAGTTCAAGTGGATTGTAAAAAAAACAGAAAAATACGATTGAATTCCCGCATAAGATCGAAAGTGGTTAGATTTAATTTTTCCGAGTTTTTTTCTGAGGACTACATGTTGTTGTCCGAGGCGCAGCTTAGCTGAGCGTAAAACTCACTGGGGAGAAGAAACAGGTTAATGTGGACTGTGGTATCTAAGTTATCTACGGATTGCTTCTCCTTTTGGTCCGTGTTGGTGAGGGAGTTCCCTAAGGAGTTCTGGAGTCACTGTCGTACTGAGTTGGTAAACCAAACGTTTCCTTTGTACCAGACACTGCAGGAGATTTTGTGTACCTGAAACTGCTTTTTCGCACTCGAAGGTGCTCCATCGATTGTTGTATTCAGTAAAGCTTCAGCAGCAAAATAATGGGAAGAATAAACTGCTCTGTCGTCCGAGATGTCCTCGCAAAACGTGGTTTCATGCTCCGATTGTCGATGCAAATGAGGCTTGGGTTGAGAATGCCAGACGTGAATAGATCATAAAATAGTTAAATATTTTCAATCAGTTATACACAGCGACAACTTACTTCAGCGATCGCCAAAGATCTCTCTAAGTGTTGACTGGTAAACTGCGATCAAACAGATGTAACAACAGATGTAATGGATCGATAATGGTATCGTATCATGCGAGTGGATAAGTCGAGCGACAGACCACTTACGTTGTTGCAGACGTTTTCGCGGTCGCGGAATAGAAACTAGAGTAACTGAGGCGAAGTGTGTGTTTGCAAGGATGTTTATTCCGAAGGACAGTATTTCTTCTACGACTACTTGGGGTGGGGTGGCTCAGTGGTTAGAGCGCGAATTTATTGACCAGAATGTCCGTGGTTCAAATTCGGCCTCTGCATCTCGACTTCCCCTGTCTAGGTCTGGGCAACCTGGCATCATCCCAGCCCACGTGCTCCCTTCGGTGGCAAGGTAGGCAGGCACCGAAGACGTGCTACAGCTACCCTAATCTCCTCACAGAATTCCACCAGCAACAACAGCTTTTCCTGAAAATTAATTTCATCAAATATTCACCACCGTTAAGCCTAGGTGTGATTGTTTTGGAGTTCTTATTTTGGGAAAATTGCCATTCTTGCACAGTGATGCGCAATGACTTCTGAGATTTATCTGAGTTCTCATTTATATGCCAAATTTTTTACTCATTTGCACTGCAAGCTGTGTTATGAAATAGAGCAACTTTCTTGTTCAAGGACAGACTTTGACAAAGGGCTGTCTCTGGCATTATCTAAAGAGTGAAGCAGATTGGATACATCAGTTCATTCGAATCGATCTAGTTTCGGGGTAAGAAAGCTCCAAATCGAATGCATTACAATCAGACCGTCTGTAGATTGAAATGTCATCTCCTAGACTTCAAAGGGGCTCCGTAAATAATACCTAGTCTGTATTTTGCCCGGTAGTTCTATAGACTACTTCTATAAGCCAGCAAAGGTCACAGTAAGGTGCATCGGTGTTTCAAACAGGTCCTCCAAGGGATGCGGTTTCCTGTGTAAACCACATCGAAGGCAGTGAGGAAGCTGAAACACACAACTGGATCTATTGCTCAGGGCTATCTGTTGCAAAGACCAAGAATCATGTACTAATTCTCGTTTACGCAGCCTTTGAAAACCATGTCGGATTGTCAGCTGATGACACTGAGTATTTTATCCAAACGATTCATGAGACCGCGAATGATTGACTTACATGTAATGAATCAGTACTTCAGAACAAAAGGAGCATTTAAAAGTTAACAAACTTACCTTATACTGAATGGATCAGGAAGTTTATCCATTGATCAATCAAGAGAAGTTCAATTAAATTCAAGAGTTTGAACCTACCTCCAACAAATTTTATTCTTATTTCCTACGTTCTTTCCAGCGTTCTGAATCGCAAAGACCAGACGGTGAATCATCTTGATCGATGCAAAAAACAATGATGCACATGAAGGGGCTTGATTATCGTCGAAGCATCCATCTCGGCATTATCGATCGCATGACGCATATACATAAATTTACTTGGAAATTCGATGGCTAATGAAGAATAGCTGCTCTCGTTCATTTGAAACAAGATGAAAATGGTGTTGGAACGAGTTCAGTTTTGACTTGAACAGAACTGAGCATCTTAACTCAGCTGGTTGAATGGCCTACCTTATTTGTAATCTCGGTACTTAATGGTTTACGGAGCTTGCGTGAGGATAATGACTGCGTGTTTTGTCATGTAAAATAATATTTAACGATTTTTATTGGAGAAATTATCTGCAGGGAAATGACAGAAAACAGTATGCAACACGGTAGTTTTCGAAAAATGCAATTTCCAGGCAAACCTGCCCGCCTTTCGGTAAAATTCCGCGACATAAAGCGTCATCATTTAGATATCTTATAAACGTTCAAGGTAAGGTTCCTAATGTCCACAGAGTAGTTGGTGGGATTCTTCCATAAATTGATAGACTGCGACGGTTTAATGCAGTGGCCTACACAAGTGACAAGTCTGCCTTAGGTGAACTATTTGTTTATCGTCACGAATGAAAAGAAGTTCCTTCAAATAGTCCGACGTGTCAGGGCACAATTGAAAAAAAGCGTCGTTCAATCTTTGATGCAGTGCTGGCAAATGCCACGAATGAGTATTCATGAAGCGAGTCATTTTTGAGCGTGTGCTGTAATTTCGAAATGAGTTCCCCGTGCCGGTTTTTCGAACTTGTCTACGTTTTCCTCGGTTTAGTTAAATGAATCCACAGTTTTCGGGGACCCACTGGCTCAAGAGAAACTAACGGATACTGGACGTCAGTAAGACTGTAGCTTCCTCTGAAAAAGCATAAAGGTTTTGTTGAACTCTTTGGTCAGAGTAACCCGGTGACATTTCATGTCGATTTTCGCCTCCTATGAAGAGGCTCAAACATATTAACGTTTTTGGGAAATCTGATTAAAAATCAACCATAACATTTGGATGAAGTAAGAATTTTTGTCTTCGATCACATAGTATTCCTCACAGTGACGACTGCTTTAAGGTATACTTACAGGAATACACGCAGTGATCTTAGTTCTCTGTCTCACGAAAGAGTTCTAAGCGTGCCGTTGTCTCTTGAGAGCCAAGGGGTGGTCCTGAGATAGTCTTGCTACCTGAACCAAGTTTTACTCCAGTCACATTCCGTCGATTTCGTTTTAATGATGGGTCTGAACGGCGCGACTATGTACCTAAAATTATATAGTGTATAATGGCCAGAGGAGAAGACTACGGAAGACACATGAATCAATGTCTCAGAGGCAAAGATCTGCACGCGCGCTAAAGAATGCACAAAAAGCCGTTGAATGATCACTAGCCTTTATAGTTCAGTTACTGAATACAAACAGACAGCATCCAGGGCTTTGATGTTAGTGTCACTGATCGGCTACATTTAAGTCAGCAAAATAACACGCCAAGGCCAACAGTTCTAATATTGGAGAAGTACGGTGAAGTCATAGGGAATTAAAATATGGTGATAACTTGACCACTTAGCCAAAGATTGGAGAAGTACGGTGAAGTCATAGGGAATTAAAATATGGTGATAACTTGACCACAATAGCCAAAGTTTGGCCGTGTATTTGGTGCTATCCACGC